ATTTATCATATGGGTATTACACATGTATAAATATCACAGATGTCTTGGTGATATCCATCTAAAAAAAGTGTGCTTAAATGAGTTTAAATCAAAATTAATGTTTACTATAGTCACCCTTTACTTGTTGCTTCATTGGACAGACTTATGCATGATAAACATGGATGATCTCAGTCTTTAACATGGTTGTTTTAAGTAAGGACCCAGTGCTGCTTCCTCCCTTTTATTTGTCTGGAATAGTAGTAGGCCTTAAAATGATAGATCAGAAGAGATAGAACCAATCTGTGCTTGGTGTCATATCGGTATGTGGAAGGCTAGGGCAGAGAGGCCACAAGAAAGATGCTTTATCTTTCATTATTGTTGGGTCACAATGCCGGATTTAGTGAGAGCAGGATCAAAGTGCCAGTTTGAGAGCTGGCTTGATGAGAGTTAACATGCTGATTTGTATTCTGGTTCCCTCCCTGTCTTTTGGTGGCATTAGAAAGCTAATTATGTTCTTATGAATGGTTTGTTTTGTTCTCTAGCTTGGACACTTGGCCTTAACATTTCAAATGGAGTCACTTGAGTCACCTTTCTTTCCCCTTTGAAAGTCATCCTTGGCTACTTTGTGTCTCCAAATTGTATTCCTTTTTGCTAGTGTACGACTTCATGGATAAACCAATACACAATATACTGGTTTAAATCAAAGAGATTTAAATAACTGATTGTAAGCATGATTTAAAGCAACAAGTAAGAAATCTCAATTTAAATAATAATTTTTAATTGTGTATTACATTTGTACTTTTTACTGTAGTTACTTTCTAAACAAAGGTTGATTGTTTTTAGTTGGTAACAAATGAAACACAGTGATTTGCAACTTGAAATAGCCTTTCATAGATTTGGTGCTTTTTAAAGCTAACCTGGAAGACACACTGTACATATTTATTTAAGCAGTTATATAACACAGCTTACATTTGTTCAGATTCTTAATAGTTACATTTTTAAAACACTGGAAAAGGATGACTGCATCATTTGCTAGATGATAATTTCATTTTTTACTTGTGATGTTTGCTAAAGTTTATTTGGGTGAGAATTCAAATTTGATTAAAATGCACATAAACATATTTTACATTATTAAAAATATTAAGTAAAGGTACATTACAAGCACTAGATACATTGGAAGACAAGGTGTTTTTTTCAAAACATTCACTTTTTTTGCACTTAAACAAAGGAAGTTTGACTTGTAGTGAATTAAACTATTTTTTTCTGATCATTACGTCATTCCAGATTTTAGAATGTGCACTTCTTGCGCACACACACCATTTTTCATTCATAAATTGGAAGAGGAAAATAAGTTTTCCTGCTTTTGCAACTTCTGATTGATCTCTAAACTTTGACTGGAATAGTCATTGAACTGAGCTAGTTGAATAAACTGAAATGAAGAAAATATTCTTTCTGCACCTGCCAAAAGAAGCTACTGCTGTCAAAAGCTGGTTTAGCATTTCAACAAACCCTAAGTCCAGGTGGTTAGTCAATGACTTCCACCAGTTCAGTGAGTTGACTTCTTTTAAAACTTGGCATCAAAAATCTATTACTTAATATTCTTTTACATATTAAATAGATTGTAATAAGTTTAGGTCTTAACATAGGCTGACAGTTTCAAAGTAATTTTAAATGTTTTTTTAAATGCAGTATTTAATTTAAATATAGACATCCCATTTAAATATAAAAAGCTTTTAAAAATTGATTTTTATCCATTGTGGTCTGATAGATGACTTGGCATAGAGAATGGGTTTGGGTTTATCCAATCATGAGAACTTGTCTAACAGAGATGCCAAATTCCAAATGACTTTCAAGAATTCACAGTGCCATCTAATATAAATCACATTTTTCTTCTTACATGAACTATAATACACTCTTCACAGTGGCCTGATTTTGTTTTACAGCTCTGCATAAGGTTTTTATAAATAAGAAGATAAACCTCTTTCTACCTGTTAAGAAAAGACTCTCCTAACTTTGACTCATTTAAATTCTTAAATGTCTCACTAGTTTATAACATTGATATTATAGTGTGATTATTGATTTTAGTAACTGTAATACACTGAAATATAATCACAGTACATCCAAGGTACTGGAAAAAATCTGTGTTACATCTTAGGATCAGCTTTGGTTTCAACTGCTGAAAACTAGATCTGAAAGTTGTGTGTTTCAACCAAAGAGAATGGAAACTTGAACAGGGAATAAAATTTGAATCTGCAGCAGTAACAGACTTTGGGAAAATAGTGTTATGACAGAATTTCATTAAATAAAAGGAAAACTTAAATGTAGTTTACATTAGAAAAATAATATTAATATCATCCATAGATATAGCAAAGGGAAGGATGAAAATGAGAAGGCAAACTGATTGGACAGAAACACAACATAGAAACAGATTCTCCACTGTAGTCGGGGTGGACCAGGGTCCTCAAAGGTGTATATAATAGGGATGTTAAATTGTGGTTATCTGGCTAATCGTGACATTGATACAATTTGTATCGACTACATGATTAGTTGTTAAGGACTGCTCTGCAGATCTGCAGTGGGGATAGCTCCAGGAGCAGGCTTGAGCTGGGACTGAGCAGTCCTGGCTTGTGCTGGCTCTGGGAGCCACCCGCACTATGGCTCTGCATTTTAAATGTAGTAAGAGCTTCCGGGTTCTTAGTTTAAAATGCAAAGGCGCAGCGTCCAGGACCAGCATGAGCCAGGACTGCTCAGTCCCAGCTCCTGCTGAGTCCAGCAGTCCCTGTTTGTGGCGGCCAGTGCTGTCTACTACAGACAGAGCTGGATGCGGACAGGGGCTGTTCCAGCAGTAGCCCCTGCCCATGGCCAGCCATGTCTGCCAGTCCCTATTCACAGTGGCCAGGGCTGGCCGTGGCTAAGGTCTGCTGCCAGAGCAGTCCCTGCATGCAGCCATGCGAACAGGTGCTGCTTGGTGGCAGCAGCCTCTGTCTGTGGAGGGGCCCAGGATATGCTTCTTGGGTAGTCGACTACTCACTAACATCTCCAGCATATAATAAGCAGAGAATGCCCGGCAGGCAGGGCAGCACTGAACAGTGGCACACTTATCTCCCCATAAGCCCACAGAAATCTGTTTGTATTGCTACTGTGGATTAGTCTTTTTCAGATTTGTGGGAAGACAGGTGCTGCAGATATTGGACTAGAAGTGATGTTATTCCTGGGGGGAATTCTGCACCAAATATTAAAAGTTATGTGCACAATATTTGAAAATTCTAAAAACTTCAGCCTATTTTATTTGTCAAAATAACAATATATAATCAAGCCAGTTTCAATTGTTTTAATGGTTTATTTCAAAATACCTGTAAGCAGCTACAGTAAAGCCTCAGGAATGGAAGGTTGTGTATAACTCTGAAATGTTCATAACTCTGAACAAAAAGCAATAGTTCTTTCAAAACTTTACAACTGAACATTGACTTAATACAAATACAAATACAAACTTTACTATGCAAAAGAAAAATGCTGCTTTCCCTTTTTTAGCAATTTATATTTAATAGAGTGCTGTACTGTATTTGTTTTTTATTTTTCTGTTGCATGATTGCATGCTTCTGGTTCCAAATGAGGGTTAGAAGACTGGTCAGTTTGTAACTCTGAGGTTCTAAGACATGTCTGTTACAATATGAATACAAATAAACCCCTATAACAATCCAGTTCCCGCTTCTCAGCCCTCTCGTCCCCACAGCCCAGCCACGTGGTTTCCCCCAGCCCAGACACTCAAATCCCATCCCTTCCAGAGCTCAGCTGCAGGGTTCCTCCCAGCCCAGACACTTGCATCCCCTCCCCTCCGGAGCCTAGTTGCGCCCACCAGACACCTGCACTCCTTCCTCCCAGAGCCCAGCTGTGATTTGAGGTATTCCCTAGCTTAGGGGTGTTAGGGGTGGGCAATAATTTTTGATAGGGGGATGCTCCAAGAATTTGGAAAGTGGTTGAGGGCTGCACTCTTCTGTGATATTAATGGAGGAGGTGTAGGGTCTGGGATGGAGGTTGGGTGCAGAAGGGAGCTTGAAGTAAATGATGGAGTTTGGGTAAGGCTATTGTGACCTGGGGCACTGGACTGGAGTGCAGGGGGTTGGATTGTGACCTAGGGGCAGGGAATTGGGTACAGGAGGGGGTGCAGGGATTTGGATTGTGAGCTAGGGCAGGAGGGGACTGTGATCTGGGGCAGGGGTTTGGGGTGCTAGATCTGGGAGGGGATATTGATGCCTGCGGGCACTGGTTCCGGCCAGCCTTAAATTCAGTTCAGGGTCCACTCAATGTGGACATGCTGGTTCGAATTAGCAAAGCGCTAATTCAAATTAGTTTTTAGGTCTAGATGCACTAGTTCGAATTAGCTTAGTTTGAATTAACTAATTTGAATTAAGTTAGTTCGAATTAGTGCTGTAGTGTAGACCCTCACTTCCTTCTCCCCAACATATCCCAGTTGTGGGGCCCTCAACCCACTCACATGCATCCATTCCCCCCAAAACCCAAGGATCCAGAGGGAGAAGCAGCCTGATGCTGTGTCCCAAGCCTGTTTGGAGTTCCTGTGCACTGCCTCCTTCCTTCAGGGTATGCCAGGAACTGAATCTGCTGGGAACCCTCCAGCTCCCACCCTCCCCACCTTCCAGTGACTTTTGTTTAGTGGCACAGAATTCCCCCAGGAGTTGTATGCAACAGATATGCCCTGCTCTCTGTCTAAATTCATGGGATGCATGCTGGTATGGAGGAGGAATTTAGAGTCAGGACTTCATGGGCATTGTTAATGGGTTTTTTTTCCCAACACAGTCATTTCATGACCTGGTCACTCCATGTCTGGTGTATATTGTTTCTTCTATGGCAAGAATAGTTTACATAGAGGGCCTTGCACGTGGACATAGCCAGATTAGATATTTTGCACAATTAATGTACGCAATTAATATACTCTGTCCAAAAATCACACAGAACTTGAAAAAGGGCTGAAGAATAATCTTGTTTAATACTGTTTTTTGCAGGTTTGTAATTGGACGAGAAAAGCCAGGACATGTAAGTGAGGTTGCTCAGCTGATTAGCCAGGCCCTCTCCTGGAACAACATTATGCACAATATGATGCAGATGATGATGAGGTACTATACTTGTGAGCAATGTTTGCAATGTTCCATTCCTTCGTAATCATTCCATTACTTTGCAGTGTTCTCTTTTCACTTTCCAGTACATTCTATATAGCATGCTTTGAGATAATGGTGCAAAGAAGCAGAGTCATATGGAAGCTAAATCCTGTTGTACCATGCCTATAAAAACATACAGCTGTGTTTTACTAATACATATATTCCTATAGTACCCAAAAATGTAACTGGCCCACAGAGAAGTACCTATATTTTTCAATTACTATAGACCTGTAAGACTTCTTTGGCTTGGGGCTGTGATGCACTAGACAGCACAATAGCCAGGGCATATGACTATGAATCTCTTGAGTGCCTGGTAGAAATCTTGTCCCACTGCTGCATAGGAGAAAAAAGGCCTTCTCAATCCTTTTCTTCCATTAGCACAGCTTAGTAGCGCAGGGCCAGCTTTGGTCTAGATTTTCTATTGTCAGTCAAAGAGACATTCGTGTCTGCTATCTCCCTCTCCACCAACTTTAATTGATTCTTTACTGATTTTACCATGGGTTCTTTTTCAGGAACAAAAGCACTAACTTTTTCAACAGATATTTAAAATAATCCTTTTGTTCCAGGAGAGTGAACAACAAGTTCATTGACACTTCTGTAAAGGATTGCTCTTTTGTGGAGATGTCTACTGTGCTCATATTAAGGGAAGGAGGCTGGTTTGCTAATACACAGAAGCATTATTCTCTCTCTGGGAAAATGATTATTTTTTATCTTCCTATAATTAATTTTTGGGGTTTCTGAGAGACACGCTATGACAATTATTCTTTATCTTCCTCAACTTCCACTAGTAAGTAGTGTCGTTTTGAAATGTCCATCTAATCTATTTTTTCTTTCTTGGGTATATGATGGACTCTATGAGTTAAAATGCAGATTAACCCATATTATGTTCAGCCTTTACTGAAATGAATGTTCAGAATAGGGATGCGAGAGGTTAACTAGTATGCATCGTCCTTAATGTGTGATGCTTACTGGTTCTAGTTAAATGGTGTGGGCTGGAGCAGCTCCCTACTCACTGCAGGCAGGGGGCTGCTCTAGCCCCATGGGGTCCTCGACAGGGGCACTTCCTCCACCTGGTTCCACTTTAAACGTCACATTTAACTAGTTAGCCAGTTAAACAGCATTTTACATATCTTGTTCAGACTCCTTGTATTTACATCTCGCAACATACACCCATACTCATTCTGACACCAACAAGCTTTAGTCATACAAGCCCCTTAATTTCTCCCTGACTTAAAAAAATGCCTGCATCACGTCCTCTGATATAGAAAATAAGAACATAAGAACGGCCATACTGGGTCAGACCAAAGGTCCATCTAGCCCAGTAGCCTGTCTGCCGACAGTGGCGTATGCCAGATGCCCCAGGTAACCCTCACGTTATCCCTCCCCTGTCACCCATCTCCAGAGATACAGAGGCCAGGGATACCATTTCTACATATCCTGGCTAATAGCCATTGATGGACCCTGTTAAAGTTCTAGCCTTCACTGCATCCTCTGCCAAGGAGTTCCACTGGTTGGCTGTGTATTGAGTGAAGACAAACTTCCTTTTGTTTGTTTTAAAACCTGCTGCCTATTAATGTCATTTGGTGACCACTAGTTCTTTTATTGTGGGAATAAGTAAATAACTTTTTCTTATTCACCTTTTCCATACCAGTCATGATTTTATAAATCTCTATCATATTCCCCCTTACTCTTCTCTTTTCAAAGCTGAAAAGACCTAGTCTTTTTAATCTCTCTTCATATGAAACTCATTTTAAATCCCTAATCATTTTTGTTGCCCTTTTCTGAACCTTTTCCAATGACAATATATCTTTTTTTGAGATGAGACGACTATATCTGTATGCAGTATTCAAGATGCGGACGTACCATGGTTTTATATAGAGGCAATAAGATATTTTCTGTCTCATTCTCTATCCCTTTTTTAATTACTCCCAATATTCTGTTTGCTTTTTTGACTGCTGCTGCCCACTAAGTGGATGTTTTCAGAGAACTATCCACAATGATGCCAAGATCTCTCTCTTGAGTAGTTGTAGCTAAGTTAGTCCCCATCATATTGTATATGTAGTTGGGATTATTTTTTCCAATGTGCATTACTTTACATTTATCAGCATTAAATTTCATTTGTTGCCCAATCACTTAGTTTGGTGAGATCTTTTTGAAGCTCTTCACAGTCTGCTTAACCACCTTGATCTAATCCTTCCAATTTTCTTTTACTCCATCCACCTGTGGTGTTTTGTCTTAAACCATTAAGACAATGATCCTAATGCACCTTAAGCAGTGGGAGAGGTGGCAGAAAGGGATCAGGCTGTTGTCTGACTTGCTGGGGAAAGAAACTTACATCTTTAAGTGCAGAGATGCATGGCTGTTGCTGCAGGCGCTGAGTAGATCAGCATGGGGATATGTCTACACTGCCCCTCTCTTGCAGAAAAACATATGCAAATGAGGCTAAGAGTGGCATATCTCCATGCCTCATTTGCATAATTAATGAGGCTCCGTTTTTGCGCAAAGGCCCCCTCTTTCGCAACAGCCATTCTTCTGGAAAAAAATGGAATGGGAGTTTGGTTATGATGTCATAATTCTTTCTGTAAGTTTGGATTGCTGTCCATTGCAGATACTCAGTAGGGAATGGAAATAGATAAGGAGATGTTTGTTAAAGGTTTGTTAAAGGAAAGGAAACAGGATGATCAGGGCTCCTATGACTGGCATGTCAGGAAGCCAAACAACCTTCCTCCCCTTTATATTGATTTCAGTTACACTGCAGAATACAAAGAGGAGCGAATTCACTTTGTTATTATTTTATTACAACTATTTGCATTGTAAAAAAAGATAAACAATCTACAAGTCAAAGCATGAAGGTTTAGCATATCTGGCATTTTGCATAGCTGGAGTTACATACCTTAAGCCAACCTTTTAGGACCAGTGTAGACATGACCTTAGTGAATGTCTGAAGAAGTAGGATTAAGCAGATTTGTAGTTCTATATTATTTTGTTTTTGAGTGCAATTATGAAAAGAATATAATTCATTGATAATTTGCATTCATGATAAAGATATTGCATTATAATACTAGTATGAGGTGAACTGAAAAATACTATTTTCTTTACATTATTTTTATTATAAATATTTACATTGTAAAAAAGATAAAGTGAGCTCTGTATACGTTGTATTGCAATTGAAATCATTATGTTTGAAAAGATAGAAAAACATCAAAAGTATTTATAATAAATATAAATTGGTACTCTGTTATTGCTTAACAGTGTGATTAAAACTGTTAAATGGTTTACAATTAATTTTAATCAATTTAGATTTGAATTAATCACTTGAATTAACTGTGATTAATTAACAGTAATATTGCAAATTTCTGCTTGTCCACTTGCTATGCACAAGTGTTTTTGTGTTTTATTGATACGCAAGTAAAATATCATAAGTATTTTTAATGCCATCAGCCCTTTTTTAATCTTGATTTTCTCAGTGTTCAAAGTTAAATGATAACCAGTTTTAAAAATGACACAAATTACATGAAAAAGCAACATATTATTATGCCATGCGCATTAACACCCAAATACCAAAAGATTGTTTTTAAAATGGGAACAAATTGTTAAGTAAATACAGTTTTCCAATTGTAGTAACTTAGGCTGTGTCTACACTACATGTCTCTGTCGGCAGAGGCATGTAGATTAGGGTTGTAGGCAAAGGTAAATGAAGCCGCGATTTAAATGATCGCGGCTTCATTTACATTTACATGGCTGCCGCGCTGAGCCGACAAACAGCTGATCAACTGTTTGTCAGCTCGCCGCTAGTCTGGACGTTTCCCCTGTCGACATCAAAGCCCTTTGTCGGCAGCCCCGTTATTCCTCGTGGAATGAGGTTTACCGGGGCTGCCGACAAAGGGCTTTGATGTCGACAGGGGGAACGTCCAGACTAGCGGCGAAAAGAGGAGAAAAAA